TATTAGCAATAGAATTCACTTTTTAAGTGAATCAAAGTGTCAGACCCCTTTGGTAAAGGCTATGAACCCCTTTTCTCAAAATAATATTTTAAGTGCATAAAAGAAAATACATAGGATTATAATGGAAACTAAAAAGTAGTGAAAATAAAGATTTAGTTTTTTTTCTCATACAAATTCATGGGCTTGCTGAAATCTTAATCCCAGCATGTTAAGAACTCCTGCTAAAGAATTTTGTGAAGTTTCACAAATGGAATTAGGTTGAGAATGCTTACTGTCTATTTTCTTTTAGTACTTTTGATTTTAATTACCTTTTGAAGGTATCACCTTTTGGGAGCAGTATTAAAATCTAGGTAGATCACAGTGAAAAATAAGCAACTATGGAGATTTTAGAGTTCAATTAGAATTATAAAATTTTACACTTGATTGCTTTTTAGGGATCATTTTGATCAACTCCTTTCTTTTACAGATGTAAAAACAGACCCAGAGAGTTGAAGGGACCAAGTCAAGATAAAAACATGTATATAATCAGAATTTTGAAAGAAAGAAATAACAATTTGGGGGAACATTTATTTGAATATTCAGATTTACTTCCATTTTATGTGTATTCATAGCTACCTAGAAAAAACATATCCATATTTATGTGTATCTATATGTCTAACTTTCTGTATATAAATGGATGCCTATGGAAATTTGTTATTTATTTGTTCAATTGTGTCATATTCTTCATGTAGACTGTAGCATGCCAGGCCCTTATTTACTCCACTGTCTCTCGAAATCTATCCAACCTCATATACATTGCTTCCATGACACTATCTATCTATCACATCTTCTGCCCTCCTCTTTTCCTTTTGCCTTCAATTTTTCCCAACATCAGGGTCTTTTCCATTGAATTGTCTTCTCATCTGTGGCTAAAGTATTTAAGTTTCAGCTTCAATATTTGTTCTTCCAATCAGTAGTCTGAATTTATTTCTTTTTAGGATTGACTGATTTACTCCTTATTATCCAAGAAACTCTCAAAAGTCTCCAGCACCACAAGTTTAAAAGCATCAATTTTGCAACACTCAGCTTTCTTTATAGTCTAACTCTCACAGCCATACATCATTATTCAAAAAACCATAGCTTTGACTATATGCACCTTTGTTATCAAGGTGATGTCTCTGCTTTTTAGTATGCTGTCTAGAGCTCTATAGTTTTCCTTCCAAGGAGTAACGTCTTTTAATTGCATGGCAGCAGTTACCTTCTGCAGTGATCTTTAAGCCCTAGATTGTAAAATCTGACTGTGCTTCCATTTCTTCTCCCTCTGTTTGCCAGGAAGTGATGGGACCAGTTGCCATGATATTTTTTTTTATAATCAAGCCACCTTTTTTTTTCTTTTTTCTTTTCTCTTTTTTTTTTTCTGGTGAGGCATTCGGGGTTAAGTGACTTGCCCAGGGTCATACAGCTAGTAAGTGTCAAGTGTCTGAGGCTGGATTTGAACTCAAGTCTTCTTGACTCGAAGGCCAGAGCTCTATCCACTGCACCACCTAGCTGCCCCTTTCAAGCTACCTTTTACACTGTCTTCTTTTACCCTCATCAGGAGGCTTCTTTAATTCTTCTTCACTTTCTGCCATCAGAGTGGCATCATCTGCCTATCTAAGATTATTGACATTTCTCCTGGCAACCTTAATTCCAGCTTTTGATTCATCCAGCCTGGCATTTCACATGTTGTACTCTGCAAATAAGTTAAATAAATAAGGTGACAGCATACAGCCTTATTGTACTCCTTTTCCCGTTTTAAACCAGTCAGTTCCATGTTTGGTTCTAACTGTTGCTTCTTAACCCACATACAGGTTTCTCAGGAGACAATAAGATGGTCTGATACTCTCATCTCTTTGAGGACTTGACACATTTTGTTGTGATCTACTTAGTCAAAGGTTTTAGTGTAGTCAATAAAGCAGAAGTAGAAAGTTTTCCATAATCCAGCAAATGTTGGCACTTTGGTCTCTAGTTCCTCTGCTGCTTCAAAAACTAGCCTATACTTCTGGTTCACATGTTGCTAAAGCCTTAGTTTGCAGAATCTTAAGCATAACCTTGCTCAAGGCATGTGAAATGAGAACAGTTGTTTGGTCATTTGAACCTTCCTTGGCATTGCCCTTCTTTAGGATTGAGACATAAACTGATCTTTTCCAATCCAATGTACGCTGTTGAGTTTTCCAAATTTGCTGGTATATTGAATACAGCATTTTAACAGCATTATCTTTTAGGATTTTAAATAGCTCAGCTGGAATTCCATCACCTCCACTAGCCTTATTGTTAGCAATGCTTCCTAAGGCCCCCTTGACTTAATTCTCCAAGATGTTTTACTCTAGATCAGTAACCACACTATCATAGTTATTGGTGATATTAAGATAGTTCTTGTATAGTTCTGTGTATTCTCGCCACCACTTCCTAATCTCTGCTTCTGTTAAGTCCCTATCATTTTTGTCTTTTATCATGCCCATTTTTGCATGAAACCTTCCTTTGATATCTGTAATTTTCTTGAAGAGATCTGTTGTCTTTCCTATTCTATTGTTTTCTTCTATTTTTTACATTGCTGGTTAAAAAAAAAGCTTATCTTTCCTTGCTGTTCTCTGGAATTATGCTTTCAGTTGGGTATGTCTTTCTCTTTCTCCTTTACCTTTCACTTTCCTTCTTTCCTCAGCTATTTGTTAAGCTTCATTAGATAGCCATTTTGCTTTCTATGGAATGTTTTTTTGTTTCTGCTTCCTGTAAAATATTTTAACCTCTGTCCATAGTTGTTTAGGTACTTTGTCTACCAGATCTAATCCCTTAAATCTATTCATCATTTCCACTTCATATTCATAAGGGGTGTAATTTAGATCATGCCTACATGGTCTGGTGATTTTCCCTACTTTCTTCAATTTAAGTCTGAATTTTGCAATGTCTTGATTTAATGGACTTATTTTAATGTAGAGCTTCTCCACCTTTGGTTGCAAAGTATATAATCTATCTGATTTAAATGTTGACCATCTAGTGATGTCTATGTGTAAAGTCGCCTTTTGGGTTGTTGAAAAAATGTTTGCTGTCGCCAGCAAGCTATCTTGATAAAACTCTGTTAGTCTCTGCCTTACTTTATTTTGTAGTCCAAGGTCAAACTTGCCTGTTATTCCAATTATCTTTTGATTCCTATTTTAGCATTCCAATCCCCTATGAAGAATGTAAGATCTTTTTTTGGGTGATACTTCTGGAAGATGTTGTAGGTCTTCATGTAACTGATCAACTTTGGCCTCTTTGGCATCAGTAGTTGGAGCATATACTTGTATCACTGTGATGTTAAATGGTTTGCCTTGGATTTGGACAGATGTCATTTTGTCATTTTTGAGGTTATACATAACGTAGTACTGTTTTGTCTTTTTTTACCGTTTTATTGTCTGAGGGGTACTCCATTTCTTCTAAGGGATTCTTGCCCACAGTAGTATATGTAATGATCATCTGAATTAAACTCACCCTTTCCAATCCATTTAAGTTCACTGACACCTAGGTTGTCTATGTTTAATCTTTCCATCTCCTGTTTGACCACATCTAGCTTACCTTGGTTCATAGATCTTATATTCCAGGTTCCTATGCAATATTGATCTTTATAGCATTGGACTTTCCTTTCATCACCAGACATCTACAGTTGAGCTTCTTTCTGGAGCTACTTGTAGTTATCCTCCACTCTTTACCAGTAATGTGTTGGGTACCTTCCAACCTGAGGGGGCTCATCTTCCCATGTCATATCTTTTATCATTTTAATACTGTCCGTGGGATTTTCCTGGCAAGGATATTGGAGTGGTTTGCTATTTCCTTCTCTAGTGAATCACCTTTTGTCAGAACTCTCCACCATGACCTGTCTGTCTTGGGTAGCCCTGCATGGCATAGCTCATAATTTCATTGAGCTGTGCAAGCCCCTCTGTCATGACAGGGCAGTGATCCAGGTGGGAATATAAAAATTAATTGCTACAAAATAGAACAAACTGGAGTACCTAGAGATCCTTCCCACCCCAACCTCTTTTTCTAGTTTAATCTTATGACTTCTAGTTAATCTGTTCACTTTGTTGGTTCCTCAGTCTTTACCCACTGAAAATGTGATAGTCACATTATTACTCTCCAGCTTTTACCATTTCTTCTCCCTCTGTTTGCCAGGAAGTGATGGGACCAGTTGCCATGATATTTTTTTTTATAATCAAGCCACCTTTTTTTTTCTTTTTTCTTTTCTCTTTTTTTTTTTTCTGGTGAGGCATTCGGGGTTAAGTGACTTGCCCAGGGTCATACAGCTAGTAAGTGTCAAGTGATGCCAAGGAAAACTCAACAGCGTACATTGGATTGGAAAAGATCAGTTTATGTCTCAATCCTAAAGAAGGGCAATGCCAAGGAAGGTTCAAATGACCAAACAACTGTTCTCATTTCACATGCCTTGAGCAAGGTTATGCTTAAGATTCTGCAAGAAGGACTCTTAACAATTTATTTTTATTGTCACTTTCTCCTTTCTCTTCTGTCTAGCTGTTGCCCAGATTGTAATCTTCCAGTGGGAGCTGTATCTTATCCCCAAATTATTCCAAATTGACCGAAGATTGTGTCCCATATTTAAGTATTGGAAGGGAGGGAGAGAATAAAAAGTTTTGGGGAGAAAAAGAATAGGTCTTAAAAGACAAAAAAAGAATGAGTCTTGTTTTAGGTACTTCTGAAGACTTTTTTATTCTTACACTATTTGGTCTACCTGAGGAAGTCTGTTTTAAGTCTAACTACATTTTTCTGTTCGCAGAATTTGTACCTTAATTTTTATAATGAAAAATTAATCTTAGAATAGCAGATGACAATGATAAACTAGGATTAAAAATGTAACAACAACACTACTACTGAATAGAAACATTTTTATACTAAAACATATTACTCAAGGTATAACTACATCATAAAAATAACTTATCATTCTCTTAACTGTTTGGTTGGTTTTTTTTGTTTGTTTGTTTGTTTGTTTGCAGACTCCAGAGAAGAAACAGTCAGAGCCATCCAGAGGAAGAAAGAGGAAAGCAGAAAACCAAAGTGAAAGCAGTCAGGGTGAGTTAAACAATGATCTTTGAGAACCAAATAAGTATTTGTTGTTAATAACTTTGTGAACTTGTTGTTGTAAAATGTCCTCTTTAAGATTTTGTTCATAGAACTAGTAATAGTTTTATTCTTGTGTGGCTCGGAAGATGCTTTTACTTATTCAGTATGTGAGACCTTTTTTACATACATTGTCAAGAAAGGGTGCTTTGTCAGGTCATTCGCCCTGCTCAGATTTCACTTCCCTTCCTTTCCAGTCTTGTTACCCAGTCAAACTCTACATTGTCCTCTACTATTGAATCCCTTGTTTCTTTTCTCTATCATCATTCATCCCTTGCCAAACATCTGCCCTGATTATTCCCACTGTATATCTCTTCTGCTCCACTACTAAATTGCGCTAGAGGAAGTCACACCATGCTGATGTGGACAGTATAAATTTATGTCATCCAACTAGACCTGAGCCTTAGTTAAAGTGAGACACTTTTTATTACTCCCTAGTTGATTCCCTGTCTCATTCCCACACAAGCATTTCCACATTATATTTTCTTTCCTCAAGCCTTCCACATCTTCCCCTCCCCCTTCTTTCTTAGCTAGGGACCTAGCTTTAGAAATTAAAGCTATTTGACAGGAGCTCCTTCTTTTCTCCTTCATATCAGAACTCCTTATCATCCGTATTTCCTCCTACATTCCCTTCCTTTCTCACAATGAGGTAGCCCTTATCCTTGCTGAGGCCAACCTTCCTACATGTGCCCTTGATCCCATCCCTTTCTGGTTTTATCATATTTCATTCTTTCTCCTCTCTCACTTCTCGCTCCTCTTTTCCCTTCTCACTTTTCTCTCTCTTCCTCTCTTCTCCTTTTGACTTTTTTTTCTTTTCCTCTTATTTTACTTCCTAATCCAATGCAGCCTGGTTTTCAGCCACATCACTGGGCTGAAGCTGCTCTCTCCAGTTACCAAGGATCCCTTAAATGCCAAATCTAATGTTCTTTTTTAGTTCTCATCCTTCTCAGTCACCCTTTCCTGAAAATTCTCTTTTCCCTGGGCTGTTGTGGCACCACTCTCTCCTCTTTCTGCTTCTATCTAAATCGACTTTCTCTATCTCTTGCTGTCTCATCATCCATATTATACCTCTGAATTGTAGGTGTTCTCCAAGACTCGTCCTGAGTGTTTCTTTCTCTTTTGGTAACCTTATCAACTCTCATATGTTTAATTACAGTCTCTGTGACCATGACTTTTCTATATTCTAACTCCTGACACTCCCTTGAGCTTCAGTCCTTCATTAGCAATTTCCTGTTAGACATTTCAAGCCAAATGTCCCAATATCTCAAACTTAGCATGCTCAGAATAAAACTCCTTATTTTCCACTCTTCACCTACTGTTCTTGCAGTCTCCCAGGTTTGTAATATTGGCTTTAACCATAACTCCTCATCTTCACCACACAAAACTAAGCAGTTGTCAAATCTTGCCATTCCTACCTCCACAATATTTCTTGCCTCTGACTCCTTATTTCTGTTCACATAGCTACCACCTTAATTCATGCCCTCATTACCTCTTTTGTAGATTATTGCAATGGCTTCCTACTTGGTCTTCCTGCCTCTAATATTTTTATACCTTTATTCCATTTTCCCCACTGTTGCAAAAGAGCACAGATCTGACTGTGTTATTCTCCAATTCAGATTACACTGGCTTCTCATTGCTTCTAGAATAAGGTATGAACTCTTCTTTTTAGTTTTCAAACCCTTCACAACTTTTTATTTTCCATCCTTATATATTACTTGTACTCCCACACACTGTGATTCAGCTAAACATAACTCCCTTGTCTGCGCCTGTGCACTGATTGTTTAAATGGAATCGTCTCCGAGCTTCCCTCTACCTGGTAGGATCTCTTTCTTCATTCAAAATGCCATTCAATCACTACTACTTACATGAAGCTTTTCCTAGTCCCTCAACTGCTAGTACTTTTCTTCTGAAACTACTTTATATTTATTCTGTATATACTTATAAATGTATTTGTTGCCACCGCTAAAATGTAAATTTTTAGCAAGTAAGAATTGTTTCATTAATTGTATTTGTATCCTCAACCTCTAGCACAATGTCTGGCTTACAGAAAACATTTAATAAATACTTGTTAATTGTACCTATTATCTGATCTCCATAGTAGTAAATTGTTAGTTACTTCCTCATAATGATCTTGTCTTAAAGGCTAGAGAAATGAGATTAACTAATAACTTAAAATTGGAGTACTATCTTCATCAAATAAATTGGTGCTTGGTTGTTACTTAAGAGAAATTTGTAGTCCTTAATTAAAGAAAACAACACCACCAAAACTGTTTTCCTTAATTATTTTTGATATCTTTTTCCTCAGGAAAATTCAGATAATTAATAACTATTTTAAAATCCCTAAAGATCTATTTTATTTTCTTCTACTTCAACTTTTTTCAATATGACTTTAGGAATCTATTTCTTTAGACTAAAAATTTCCAGTACTGAACTCAAAATAGTGCCTTACTATAAATTGGTCCTTAAATCATATAGGGTGACCATGTAATGATAGTCAGATAATGTTCTTTGTGTCTAGAGTCCAAATATCAATGTACTGTTAGCTCACTGTGCATATTTGTCATTGAAATTAGATAATAGCAACATTAATTATCCAACTTCTCGATGAGATTGTTCTCAGAATGCTATTCAAGAACTGTGTTTCTTATTAATACTAATAAAAACATTTCTGTAAGTGCCCTTCAGTTTGCAAAGTACTGTATACATGTTATCTCATTTTGTTCCTTAAATCAATCCTGGGAAGGTAAGTACTTTTATTATCATCCCCATTTTCAGATGTGGAATACCACAGAGGTTAAATGATTTGCCTAGGGTCACACAGCTAGTAAGTGTCTGAGGTGAGATTTGAACTTTGGTCTTCCTGATTTGGAGTCCAGCAGTTTTACCCACTATGTGTCCCCTAGCTGCCCCTTGGAGCATTAGACTTGGTATGAGATGGTTTTCTATATACTTAGCTTCATTCTCCTTTTTTTTTTTGCAGTGGTTTAATTCCCTTTAGTTGTATTAGTCCTTATTCAGTGATAATTGGACTTTTAATGATACTTGTTAGTGGAAGTTTATGAATCATGTAAAATAATTTTCAGTCTCTTGTTTTATTCATATATTTCAGTTTGTATGCTTGTTTTTCTTAACAATCTAATTTGACAAGCATTTACTAAGCACTTACTATTTGTGAGGCTAAGGATAGAAAGAGAAAAATGAAATCCTGCCCTTGAGGAGCGTATATTATGGAAAACTATGATATGCTCATTTACATAAATACTAAATAATTTTGCAAGACAGTATCAGGAACACCCTCCTGGTAAGAAGTGGCACTTTAGATGTTCCTGCAGGGACAGGGCAAAATGCATTTCAAATATTGGTGTCTGTGAAAAGGCACCATGACAAGAAATGGAATGTCATCTGTTAGGTACAGAAGCGAGGCCAGTTTAGCTGCAAGATAGAGTGAGTGAAAGGAAGTGATGTCCAATATATTTGTGAAGGTAGACTGGAGCCTAGGTAGTGATTGGAAAATGTCAAGGACAGGAGTTTCTATTTTACCCTACGGGCAGTAGGGAGCTGCTGGACCTGTGCTTTAGAGATACCAATTTGGCAATTGTGTAGAAAAGGATTGGAGAGTGGAGAGACAGGGAAACCAACTGGACTTTTGTCATTAGGAGGCATGTTTGCACTTGTCAATGAAAGTTAAATTTAAAAGAGGAAAGATACCTGCTGGAAAGTGGTAAGTAGTACAGATCATAGCAGAGTTTCTCTAGTTTAACCTTCTCTGAGATTCCTCTGTATTCTGATTTGAGGAGTTATTGAATAAGGACCTATCTCTAGAAAGTCTTTATGTCATCCCCTGAGTAAGGTCTGTCTAGCTCAATTATTTTGTATGTGTGAAAGTATTATATTAATGTCTCTTGCAGATTCCGCATAATATAATATTAGCATTAGGACAAGTTACAATGCATAGGCTGTATTTCTTTCTTCTATTAAACTTGATATACTTACTGGCTCATAGGAAAAATGTTCCAGTATCTTGAATATTTCCCAACCATTCTAGGATTCTGTATTTGTTTTATTTCCCCAAACAGAAAAAGCTCTACTTTCAGAAATGACAAACTATATCCTATTGAATTTCTTTGCAGAAATAGGAAGCATTTTATATTAACAATTTCAAAATATCCACAGTGTTTTTTCATGTTGATTATTTTTGGTAATGTAGACAAATTAAACAATTACAAAAATCAAAAGTTGAAAGTATAGAGTATGTCTTAAGAAAAATTTGATTTTTATGTGATGTTTTCATGTGTTTAGTATTTTAAAGTTTCTATAAGTACTTAAACCATATTTTTTAGATTTTAGATTTATTATTTTAAATAATAATAATTAACAATAAATATTTACAAATATAAATAACAAATTTATAATTTATTTTAAATTTTAGATTTATTAGATACCATTTCACAAAACTAAAAATTATTATTTTTAGGATGAATAGAATATAATGTCAATATTATACTCTTAAATGGATGAAAAATACTAAACAAAATCTCATCTTGAAACATTTTTATCCTAGTTAAGATTTACTTAAATCTAAACATTTAAATCTAAAAATGTGTTCTTTGTGGGAGGGAAATATCTGGATAACTGAAAATATTTTAGTTAGGAACATTTCAGACAAATTGAAAATACTTTACAAATTGCTCATTCTTATGAGTAATTTTTTTTTTTTATTAAATTTTGCTGGAGTTACAAACCTATAAAATGAATGGATGACAGGTTGGCATTAGCTCCATTATGTAACTTTAGAGACCAAAGCATAGAGGTATCATGTACTACCCTTATTAGACACTGACCTCCCTCTCACACACAGCTTTATGTCATGTGTATTTTCAGATATGACTTGGTGGATCAAGAATGTTGAATTTATAGAAGCATTTTTAAAATCTCCATCTTTTTGCAGAAATTATATTTACTTCAGTGTAGTATTGAGTGTGCATTCAGTACTATTGAGTGTGCATTTCAGAAGAATATTTTTCATGGGCTGAGTTCTTACTATATTTTGTTAATAATTCCTACACTATTATCATAGTGTACTTAGGGGAACCACATTTAAACTTTGTTTATGTACAAAATAACCCACAATTTACAATGTTTTTAAAAAGGCAAAATATCTATGTGCAAGATGGCCTCTGTATTTGAGTACCTTTTAGGCCTTTGGCAGAGCACAGACATGTCTGTTTAACAGAGCTTTTTCATTGTAATTTACAGGTTTGAATTAGTCTGTTGGTATAAAGTCACCACTTGTTCCCTTTGTTCGCTCTGATCTGTTTTTATGAACAATTAGAAGCCATAAACCAGTGTGATTTGATTGTAGTTTTATAACATGCTAATCTGCTCAGTGCTTATTTTTTAAGCAATTAGTGTAATAGAATTTAATCTCTTAACATCGTGTGTTTATGTGAACCTCCAATAATTGGAACAATTACTTTAATTGACATGTTTCTAATAAAGTATGCCATTTATCATTTAAAAGGCCTGCCATCATTATTTGGAATTCTCAAAGTAGAATCTGGTTCCTTCAGAACTGAGAAGTTTTAGGGGCAGCTAGGTGGCACAGTGGATAAAGCGCCAGCCCTGAATTCAGGAGAACCTGAGTTCAAATGCAGCCTCAGACACATAACACTTAGTAGCTGTGTGACCCTGGGCAAGTCACTTAACTCCATTGCCTAGCCAAAAAAACAACAACAAGAACAACAGAACTGAGAAGTTTTGTTTTCACTAATGTACTCTCCTTTTCCCCCCGTACCCCCAACACCAACTGAATGAACCGGCAGGTGCTCATATTCAATGAAAGTTTTCTTAATTTCTTTAGAAATGAAATCCCAACAAGTTCACTTTTCTGACAAAATAATCATGTAGTAGTCATTATCTTTGTGTTTTAAATATGTGACACTTTTTCCTTTCTTCCTTCCTTCCTTTCTTCCATTTTTTTTTTTTAGGAAAAAGTATCGGAGGACGTGGCCTCAAAATTAGTGACTATTTTGAAGTAAGTTTTTTTTTTTTAAAGGATTTTTCCTATCTTTTGAAATGATGTAATTCTTCATTTGGCCAAAAATAATTCCTCTAAACTATATATTCAACTATTGCTAATTTCAGATAGAAGGAACCTTAACAGAGTATGTCTCATCTATTTGAGAATTTTTATTACCATTGGAGCGGAACTTAGGGCCTAGAGCCATAGGTTAAATAGTTTGGGAGTCAGTTTCTAAGAACTGTTCAGAAATTCAACTAAAATACTCCTCATTTTAACTGCTAATTTGGGGCATATATAAAAACTGATAAGGCAAGCACTATATACTATATTGCAAAGTATTTTTTTCTTAAAAGAGAGGATGGGATTGCCTAGTATGGCAAAACTCACTGTTAATATTCCCTCCAAAATTATTCTTTCTTGTGTTTTCCATACAAGCATTGAAGTCCCATGCCAGTGCCACATCATTGTTAGACATGACGTTGCATTCTTAAAAGCTGTAACAGCATAACACAGGCTCTGAGAGGCCTCTAAGCTGGAAAGGTCAGTAGTGGATGTGCCTTGTACAAGGTGTAGCCTAGGAAGATGCAGAGTGGCTCACTCATTGCCAGCATGGCCCTGGGTTAATGAATTTTTGGGCCATGGTAACATTTGAAGACCCATCTGTATAGTTGTAGAACAACTGAGATCTTGATTTATGGAGGAGAAGAAAATCACAGAAGAAAATTACAAGTCCTTAAAGAAATACTTTTGGCAACCAAGGCGTGACTGCTTTGTATATCGTGCTTTCATGCTTACCGAGTGCTTTACATGCATTCTCCTTTATATTCATGATCTCATTATCCAACACCTAGCCATGGTGGGTGGTTGGTAAATAACTTTTTTGAATTTTAATGTCATCACTTGTTGAATTGAATGTCATCGCCATGTAGAGGGTAAATTGTCTTGTGCTCTTTTCTTGACAGAGAGAGAGAAACTGAGGCTCAGAAGGTTAATTGACTTGCCTATGTGTGCACATAGGAGTTGAGTCCACGTCTATCCTAAGTTAAATCCTCTTTCTACTACATCACATTTGATACTTGAGCTTAATATTAGTCACTGAGTGAACAGTCTCATTGATCCTCTTCTATACACAGGATGTTTAGAAAAGGGTTTAAAGAAACCTTCTAGTAAATCACTTCTTTTCTACTGTTCACTCATTGCTTACTTACTTGATTGTTAGGGCAGTGACATGGGTAGTATGTATTATTTGGAGAGGAATCTGGTGGCAGCCCAGAGAAAAGGCAACAAGCTGAGACTGTTCATTGCTGAGAGCAGTGGAGAAAAGAGTAAAGCGGGCAGAAAGAGACAAGAGTCCTTGAGGTTGTAACTGCTTAAATATGAGAAAAACTGCATCATGTGGTACACAGGTTTATATGCTGTTAAGAGTACCTACTCTTAAGTAAGCCAGGTCTGTTCATTACTTTTGCATAGTATCATGTCCATTTACTGGGAGTGTAGAGCATGATTTTGGAGTCTTCACTTTGGCAGTAAGCTGTGTGTAAAACACTCAAAATGAGGACATAATCATATTTTTCAAATAAGTTTTCCTGCCTTTAAAACAAAACCCTTGGCATTCGATTAGAGGGTGATCAGCCTAATTCTACTTAACTTGGGAAGTTATCCTATGTTATGATAATTTTAATAATAAAGAAATGATTACTGTATAAAAGTAATATTTTTGGGGTGGGGAAGAGATACTTTTACACTTTTTCTTAGAAATTTTCCTATTTTTCAGCCTTTTAGAAACTGACTAGAAATACCTTAATTATGATTTCCTTCTGCATTGTAAACTGGATTTATTTATGTTAGTATCATATCTAATCTAAAAATAATTAAGACTTTATCTCAAAGGGTCTTCTCGAGGCATTTTTGATTCCTGTTTTTTTTCTCTTCAGTATCAAGGTGGAAATGGCTCTAGTCCAGTAAGGGGAATACCTCCTGCAATCCGATCGCCTCAGAATTCACATTCACATTCCACTCCTTCCTCCTGTGTAAGTTTTACCTGTGAATTTATCATGCTTAGCCTAATTCAGGTTTTAATACTAAGTAACTTTTATATGGAAGTTATAATTTGTAACTTCCATATAGACTCCTTCATCTAAATTAAAAGTTATCAGTTATATAAATAGACTAGCATTCTTTTTAAACATCTAATGATCATTATGTATCATATAGCTTTATGACAGCAAAACTTGTCCCATGAAAATAAAACATTTAATAAAATAACATAATTGTATTTGAAACTATTGTTTCTGTAAGTTAGGTGTTGTTGGGTACATAAGGACTAAAATAAGCTTGGAATAAATTCATAATGGTAAGATTGAATTCTGAATTCCATCTTTCTTGACAGTAAGATTGAAGGAAACATTTGAAGAATTTTTGTTTCTGGGATATTTAAAGATAAGTTTTATTGCTGTCAACCTGGATAATTTCCCACCCCCTTTCCCCTTTTGGACAGTAAAGAGGATTGGATTTTCAAAGTCTTTGAGATTTCACATTCCTTCCAGTTGTGATTTTTAAACATTTTACTTCTTTGTACAAATAATGATACCCATTAAATTTTATGTTGTGACTTTTCTGATCGAGGAAACTATACTGTTGATTTTTAAATGAATGTGCAGTAGATCCATATATTATTATGCAGCTCAAGACTTCTATGAGAAATCACATTTACTTTTTGAGCCGCTGTAATTCTTTTTTGACATTTTTCAAGTGTTTGTTTAAGCACAATTTCTTTTGGCTATGTTTTAACAATTATTTAAAATAATTTCTAGGATTTCCAAGGGGGAGGAGGTCATTAGGCTATTAGAAAATGCAAATATTTCTTCTAGGTGATCAACGTTGGTATAAAGGACCTTAACTTTTTTTCCTAATGAGGTAATTTTTTAAATATGTATTTTAGGTTCGGCCGAATAGCCCTTCTCCTACTGCATTAGCTTTTGGGGACCACCCTATTACACAACCAAAGCAGTTATCTTTTAAAATTATTCAGGTAAATTGTAATCTTATAAATTTCTTCTGTCCTCAGAAACAATTGCATTAGCTTCTATTTGTTTCAAAAATGTATTTACAAATCACATTGTGACTCAAGAAAGCTAAATGGGTTACACTATGTGGAGTTTAGCTGGATCAGAAATTAAAATTCACTCTCATTCCTTCTGTCTCTTATGTAAATGAGCATACAGTTCTTGCAAAATCAAATGAATGTCCATAAAACATGGGCTTTTTTAATCTTTGTTAGTGAACTTCATTCTCTTCTCAAGTGGGTATAAATGGTGTCATCTTTGTGAGATCTCTAGATTTAATATTACTTCTTGTTTCTCATAAATAATATTATTTTGATGGATCTGTGATCTTATTGGTGTGATCTTAGCTTGGTTAACTAGAATATAGTTAGCATTAATGCATTTTTTAAAGCTGACATTGAGTGGTAGTTTTTCAAGTTTTTTTTTTTCTTTTACATTCTATTTTATTATTAGATGTATAGGCCATATGATGCAGAAGATAAAACAGTTTTCTTTTGTTTAGACTGATCTCACAATGCTGAAATTAGCTGCACTAGAAAGTAATAAAAACCAGGACCTGGAAAAGAAAGAAGGTCGTATAGATGATTTGCTCAGGGTAAGTAATAGTTTGTGGAAGGAAATTAATTGGTAATAGTGAAGCTCTTTAGAAAACATTGTTGTTATTATCATATGAAAAATTATAAAGCTGCAAATACTTATTTGTAATATAAACACAGTTGAAAGCATCAGGTTAAAAATTATTCTTTGGAAGTTCTGTAAGTACTGTTTAAAGAACTGTAAAATACAAATGAACACATATAGTTGATTTTGCTATGATCAGCAATTGTGAGAGAGAAACAATTTTTCTTTATGTGCATTTAAGATTAAGTGAATTCTCTAAATAAATTGCTATATAAAAGATACTGTAAGCAAGCTACTATCAACCAGACAGATCACAAATAGCACTTTCACATGCCTAGAGTACAATGAATATTTATGTTCCAAATGATGACCTTGAGAGTACTACAAAATTTCGGCAGGCTTCTGAATCAGCAAAGTTCAAATTATGGTCATTGTAACATTAATGTCAAGTGGATGTGTTACTTCTTCTTATTTCTCATAAATAATATTTCAGTGGATCTGTGATCTTATTGGTGTGAAATACTCTCTTTATCCAGATAAGAAATTATCATACATTTCCTGAATACCTTTTGCATCTCTTGTTGCATGTCAGTCGTCTTAGGAGTATGGTAGAGGCTACTTAATACCCTCCCGCCTCTCTGTATTATGTTCTAGGCTGCCCATAATTTTGATTCTTGATAAACTGTACTACTGAATGATTTCCAGCCATATAATTTTACGAGGAGAATACTAATATATTCAACTTTTGTGTCAGGGAGCAGCTTGAAATGATTCAAAGCACTGCACAGTTACTCAAATGTATTTCAGTCTATTAATTTCTTGGTCCAGCTTATCATTCATCTGGAATGCCTAAGATTATCTACTAATAGACTAACTAATTGGCCTTCCTGTCCAACTGCATATCATAATTTGGAAATTAGGAATTCTTTTTCCTTTTGTTTTTTCCTGTGAAGAATGAATTGCTGTAGTAGTTGTGGCTTTCATCAGGGATGCCTTGCAGGACTCTGTGGCTTGATGAAATCAACAAAAAGTCATTTGTTAACAAGACAAAATGGAGAACTTGACCATCTATAGGGAATCCTTCATTTGAACTCTATAGAAAGATGTGTAACATGACAGAGGCAAACTGGATGTTGGTAATTAGAGAATTCTTAAGCAAAAGTGTGCCTATGAGTGTATCTGTCAAGATATTTTGTGTGATGTTTAACATGTGTGGAACATACCTTTTTGGAAAAGAGCCTTCACTTCAAGGTTTCATTCCACTCTTCAAGAGGCATACTATTTTTAAAACCAACAAAGAGTAAACCTCAGTATCTTGTATTCTCTATACCTTTCAGCCATTTATATGACCAAAGATACAGTTTTTTGGAAGCATGTCTGTTTTTTGCTGAGTTTTTCATCAACTCTCTCCTCAATATGTGTATAGATCAGTCTCATAAATATTTTATTAACATGAGAAATTAGGCATCTAGCTTATTGGTTGATGTTATTTTGATTGCCTTTTAAAAAAAATACCATCCATTACTGTTTTCCAGTTAAAAACGTGAAACAAAAAACAAAATTGGATACAATTGAAAGTTTACTAAGGATGAAGAATAAGGACCAGTGTCTAGTTGGGAAGCGATAGAAACATCAGAGGCAAATAGAGCTAGCTGGAATCCTCGAACAACTTGCAGAACTTTTGCTGTTTTCTTGAAAGTCATAAATGATAAGGAAATTGCCCCCTAGGCTGAGAGTTCCTGGGCAGAGAAACCTTTGGTCACAATCTTAAGTATAAATTATCTTCTTTAGATATTTGAGCAAGGACAGAAAAGTAGAGAGTCAAAGTGGGCAAGTTCCTTAACTTTTAGTTTCGGGGTTTTTTTTTTTTCAGTTTCTAATTATTTGAAAATTGATCATCCACGTATGGCAATAGAGATAGTTTATTTAGCAAACCGTATGTGAGTATCTGTTATTTCCCTAAGGCGCCTGACTTGTACACATATTACTTCTTCTGTTCTTTTTTTTCCCCACATATTACTTCTTACTTGAACAACTACTGTAATAGCTTCCTGAGATCCTTGCCTTTAGTCTGTGTCCTATGATTTATCTTTTGCAAAGTTGTCAACATAATTTTCCTAATGCTTGGGAATGTATATTACTTGTCTTTTGTTGTTGTTGTTGTTGTTGGGCAATGGGGGTTACGTGACTTGCCCAGGGTCACACAGCTAGTAAGTGTCAACTAAGTGTCAAGATTTGACCAGATTTGAACTTAGGTCCCCCTGACTCCCAAGGCCTGAGCTCTATCCACTGTACCACCTAGCTGCCCCTGTCTGTACTCCTTATTGTGGCACTTGATTTACATTAGTTGAACTAAATGAAATTATTGTAATCCATGTCAGCCCCCAGCCCATAACCCATATTTTATCATCAGTAAAATATTTAAATAGGTCAAGTTGGAATATTTTCATTACATACAATATATTTTTCTCATTCTTTTTTTCTAGTTTTGTATTAATTTTGATCTTTGCTCTAATAAGTGATCTGACTATACATAGACAATTGATTCAAGAGTGATACCTACATCAGTAATAAGATATTTCTAGTCTGTTAAACTATAACCAGTTTCTTTTTTTCTCTTTTTCTTTCATTTTTTTTGGTAATATTATTGCATGTTTGCCACATCCAGTACCTTGAAATGCTTTTCTCAAAAGTTATGTGTAGGAGTAAGGCTTCTATATAGACTGTACATCATTGCCTTCTCTCTTTTTTCTTGATCCATATTTTCCAATGTATTTCTCACCACCTACACCTATTCCCACCTTTGTGTTAAAGCACCAGTTATCATAGTGTATGTTGATTTAATCTGAAGGGTCTTAATGAGTTCTTCATAGAATTCTTGTACCTTTTAATTCTCTGCAACAGCAGTTGGTGGATAGGTTACTGTTATTTTTAATGGTAATTTTTTGTAAATACTTACGAGTATTGCAATAAAAGAATACCAAATATCCTATGAAATGATATTTTTGCTTCCCTTTGGATGCATGATAAAACCTATTCTGCTAACTTGTTTATTTATCTCTCCAAAGAGAACCTTTGAGTCATCCTTCCATTTAACTGCAACTCCCCTCTAATGGTTTGTTTATAGTAAGAATATTAAGATTGATAAGATTCAGTTCCTTCAATGTCCCCTTGTTGGTCATTGGATAAAGATTCCACATCCGCCAGCTCTCCCAAGAGAAGTGGATTAAAAGGTGTCTGAGGGGCTGGTTTCATCACGGTTTCAAAGGGAATCATTTTGTGCATTAATTGGTCATTTTCCTTTGCAGTCTTATGATGAACATAAGCAAAAAGACTACCATTAAGATGATTACAGTTTTCGTGCCAATATCTTTTGCAGAGTTTGAAAATTGAATAAATTTTATGCAAAATTTGATTAAAAACCTCTTAAACTATCAGCCATTACTTTGGTACATGGAAATTTGTATTTAAGGACATGATAGAGATCAGAAATTATTTTGGAACATATGTGATTAGGGATTTTTTAAAAAATCAGGCCATAGGCTCTAAATTATTCAGAAGTTTCATTTTTATGTGTCTTAATGGACAGGAAATGATATATTGCTGATATGAAAATCATTTCCAAATTAGCTATCTTTGTCTAGTCAGTTCATTGATTAGTTAAATGTTAAACTCAATACCAAATTTATAAGAAAAGATAAAGATTAGGAAACTTTGTCTGCAATTACAGTGACATTAACTAGGCCCATTTAAATTGGCTGTCACCTCTAAAGATGGAAAATTGGCAGAAGCAGAAACAATGATTTTGTCACTATCTCTTAGAGAAGTTTAATAGTGAGGATAAAAAACAGAGACTTCCTCTTTCCATGTGTCTTTTATGTTCGTGATAGCTAGGCACAATTTGGTAGCCAAGAGCAATACTGCTTTGGAGTAATAATAACTAGAATTTATATAGTACTTTAAGATTTGTAAAGCATTGCACCTGTTATCTGATCCTCAAAACAACTCTATGAGGTAGGTGCTATCACTGTGCCCATTCTAGAGATGAGGCTGAGAGCTTAAGTGACTTGCTAGGAAGTCTACACAGCTAGTAAGCATCTGAACCAAGACTCACACTCAAGTCTTGTTCTCTCTCGTTGTGTCACTTACTGCCTGCTTTAAATAATGATCTGGTTTGAGAAGCATTCTAGAACTCAGTGATAGAGGAGTGTATAGTACTCCTTATGAAATAATGAAAAGCCATTGAGCTGAAAACATTCCTCCAGACAACTTGGCATCAAACCCACCTATGTCATGTCATTTTCACCCAGAATTTGTAGATAAAACTGAAAGTGGGACAAATAGATATGAAATGGTATAGATTTACTGTCACTTCTGTTTAAGTCTAGGCCAGTAGAAGGGTTGTAGAACCTGTAGCTTTTGAACTTCACCATTCTCAATATTTAATGTAAACAGTGAAGTAGCATCAGTGGGCTTTAAGATTGGCCAGCACATGTGGACCAAAATACATAAATTTGTGCTATTCATAACACAGTTTTAAAGGCATTCAGGAATTGATTTTCAAGATCTCAGAAAGAGAAGATTACAACAAAATAATAAGCAGTAATACTGCTTTTGGAGGCAGCTAGGTGGCACAGTGGGTAGAGTGCCTAAAGTTAGGAAGATTCATCTTCCTGAGTTCAAATCTGGCCTTAGACACTTAATAGCTATGTGACCCTGGGCAAGTCGCTTAGCCCTGTTTGCCTTAGTTTCCTCATCTGTAAAATGAGTTGGAGAAGGAAATGGCAAACCACTCCAGTATCTCTGCCAAGAAAACCCAAATGGGATCACAAAGAGTCAGACATGACTAAAACCACTAAACAACAATACTGCTATCAAAAGGGGAGCAGGAAGGGTGCTGCTTTCAACTGTTTGATTATGATATCCCTCATCTTAATTTTACCAGGTCTACTTGCAGTTTACAAGAGTTTCTTCAAATGAATTGCTATTTGATAGCATTATAGTATGAGGAAGATAATTTTCCTGCAGGACCCCACCTGGGTATCATGGTGAGAACCTTGGATTTGGAAGCCAAGAGCTTGGACTCACATATCAGTGTGAGCACACCAGTTGATCTTTATGGTCACTTTTGTTTGGAGAACATATCTTCCTTTGTCATACTGGTTTACAGGGAGAGAGGCCTTAGAACAGTTTTCTGCCTTCTTCCACAGCCCCAGTTGTCCCTCAGTTCTGGTTCTGCTGTTGCTCCTTGGTTCCCTTTTCATTTCAGGACTGTTAATTTATTCTTCTGGGGATGGATTATAATTCATGAAATCATCTCAACTTGGAGTCACAGGTCTTTGCTACCTCAAACTGAAACCTGAAGGCTATTTGGGATGTTCTCTGGAAATCAAACACTATAAAATTTCCACCAAACTCTAATCCAGTCCTAGGGGATTGGCTTCTCAGAAGTTGGAATGAGATTGAAGGAAGTTATGTTGTCTGTGTATCTTGCCCATTCTTAAAACAAATATATTCAATCTCCATTGTTTATTGCTTGTGGGACATGGTCCATATATATCATAAGATCTTAGATTAAAAGCTGAATGTCACAACTTAAAATAACTAGAGGAAACATTAATTCTAATAAACTTGAAATGTCACTGTTAAAAACATAGGAAACAAGGAGATGAGAATAGATTGGAGCTAGGTTATGGAGAACCATAAGACCCAATAATAACTTTATAAAGTTGTCTACATGTTTAAAAATGTAGTGGTATCAATACACCATTAAATTGTTTGTTGTGGGGTGGAGGCAAGGTAGATCTCCATCTGTTTAATTGTTTATAGATTCGGGTATTCTGTGTATTTTTTGGATTTAATAAACATTTGTTGAGTACCTAATATTTAAGGTGATGTTGGGTCAGGTTCAAAAGTGAATGAATAAATAGATTCCTACTTCAAAGGAGCTTACAGTCTTGCTGGGATTTGACATGTATACAAAAATAATATACTGACATTCCACAAGAGATATATAAGCAAAATGCTTAGGGTACTAAAGAAGAAGGAGTTAGACTTAGGAAGATCAGGATATTTGAATTGGGTCATAAATAAAAGCTGGGTTTTTAACAGGAAATTCATTAATGGTTGTATTCCAGGCAGTGTTAACAGTATGAGCAAAGACCATTGGATTTGACATTTAGCAGGTCATAGGTGACCTCAGAGAGAATAGTGTCATAGTGGTGGGAGTAAAAGACTGATTATTAGGCATTAAGGAACAAGTGGCAAATGAGGAGATGGAGGTAACTAGTATAGACTGCTCCTGGAGGATGGAAGCAAAAGAAGGAAAGAGAGAATATGAGGGTTTCATGGAGTAACAGGGTTGAGAGGATTATTTTTTAAAAATTGGGAAACTTAAACATGTTTGTAGGCTAGTAGAAAGAAACCGGGAGAGAAATTATGTAATTCAAGAGAGGATGATGATGCAGTATCACAGAGGAGAGATAGAATGGCAAAGGTAAAGGGGTTGTCTTTGGGAAGAAGTAAGGCTACTTCAGATAGGAGCAAAGGAGGCAAAGAATAGTGGAAATTTTTTATTTGAAAAGGAAGTTAAGGGATTTCATTAACTGACTTTTCTGTGTTCTCTAAAGTAGTAGACAAGGTCATCTGCTGAAATGGTACTTGATAGAAATGGAATTAGTTTGTTAGAAGGGAGAAAGATTTGTAATAACCATTTTGGGGAAGAGAGGTAAGAAGTCGGTAACAGGTGAGTAAATGGGTTTCAGGGTACTTCAGATTAGAGAAATATAGTAGAAAAACCATATCTTTGGGAATCAGATTCAAGTGTTGACTTTTCCACTAATTTTGGCAACTCATTTATGTTCTCCCATCTTTAAAGGGAAGAAGTTGGGCTAAATGATCTCTGTGGTTCCATCTGGCTTTAACCTTCTCTGAATCTAAGAATCACTAAAGTTAGCTTGAATTTACAGAGGCTTTAGAACCACTTTATGACATTGAGCTATCTATAACAGTGGCATCCCAGAAGCTGGAGCAAAAAATAAATAAATAAAACTATGAATTGATACATGGTAGATATGGCAGAAGACCAAAGGAACAGTATACTCTTGGATGCTAGTTGGGAGCATCGTAGGAGTGAATGACTATGTCTTCTAGTTTTGAAGAGACAAACGAAGCCGGGAGGATCTTGATGGACTGGGAACTAAATAGTCAAAAGGGCTGGAGGTCTGGTAAATGTAAAAAGCAAGTTCAACAGGAGGAAATGAAAGGTTACAATCTTAGAAATTTCATACAAGAAAATTAATTATAGAATGAGTGTGACATGGCCATTGTTGTGAATGGCTGAAATGGAATGAAATGTATGCACCAAATACTGCCGTCACATGTTTGCATAGTACTTTTCAGGTTATAAAGTGCTTTCCTTGCAATATCTCTATTAGATAAGTCATACAGATATCCTCATTTTTACAGATGGTAAAACTGAGATTAATTGTCTTGTGGTTTTATAAGTAATAAAAATCAGAACCAGTATATATAGTACAACTGTGTGACTCAATATGTAGTTCATAACTTTTTCAACTATACCATGTTACCTTTTCTACGGTGTGATGTAAGGCCGGTGTTGAAACATCAGAATGAATTTTAAAGTCACCGAATACAGTAAGGGTTGTAGTAGAAGAAAATGATGAGAATGGAATGCTAAGAGTCATTCATTGAGCAAGGTGGAATAGTGTTTTGAAGAGTTGCAGAAATGGGTTAGGTGAAGTTGAGACATATTATTCATATAAATATACATATTTTATACACACACACACACACACACACACACATGTAAATGTGAACTTGGGGGCAGGAACTATCCTCTTACGTTTCAGAATATCGTGCCTTTCTTTGTATCTCCAACTCTTAGCACAGTATCATATAATAGGTACTTAATAAGTGCTTACTGACTGGCTTTAAATTGTATTGATTTCAAAAGAAGAGAGATATTGTTGAGAGTTGTTATTGAAGCAGTACCCTTAAAGTGACCAAGAAATATCATGCCCCCTCTTCTCAGTCTTATGATTTAGTGTTGGGTGGCAAGGGAAATCTGAAAGAAGTAATCTTCATTTGGGAGGAGGTAGAAAAAACCCCTAAGAAGATCCAGGTTTAGCATTAGAAAAGGGAAGCTTTAAAGAAGTATTTATAATCCAATTCTTTACTTTGTTAAGTATATTAAAGTTACATCTTTGATATGGCAGTGTATCAGGTTCATTTGGAACATTAATTTTCATGGTGTACAATGCAGTAGATCAGGAGTTTTTAATCTGGGGTCCTTGATTTGTTTTTTAAAATATTCTCATAACTGTCTTTCAATATAATTGGTTTCCTTTATAATACTATGCATTTTATTTAATTAACACATTTAAAAATTTTATTCTGAGAAGAAGTTGACAGGCTTCACCAGACTTCCAAAGGGATCTATGACAAAGAAAACAATTAAAAATGCCTGCTATAGTTGTAGTAACTCCCCTTGCCCCCCAAGGTACCAGGGTAGTGAATATAGTCTCAACTTGTCCTATGTTTTTTTTTCAAAACTTTTTACATAGAAAATTTATATTTTGAATCTATGAAAAATATTAGTGATGAGTCAGAAACATATACATAAATAGAAGCATACATATATATATGTACACATTTGCATATATATGATATTTTAGTACTTTTTTTCCCTTTGGGTACATTATGTAGTAGCATTAAAATTGTAAGTTTTTCATGCATGTTTTTACATTTCCTGCTTATGTTTTAGGCTAACTGTGATCTTAGACGTCAAATAGACGAACAGCAAAAACTACTTGAAAAATACAAGGAAAGATTAAATAAATGCATTTCAATGAGTAAGAAACTTTTAATAGAAAAGGTAAGTTAAAGTTGAACTTTTCTTTCCCCGTTTTACTAATAATGTCTTGAGCTTTTTCATTTTAAACTAAGTTATTAATTTTTTTTTTCTCCAGAGCACACAAGAAAAGCTGGCAAGCAGGGAGAAGAGTATGCAAGACAGACTACGCCTTGGGCATTTTACAACAGTTAGACATGGTGCTTCATTTACTGAACAATGGACAGATGGTTTTGCCTTTCAGAATCTTGTGAAGTTAGTCATTCTTATTTTTGAAATTCCCAATAAGTGTGGGGGATTTTTGTCATTAAAGCTTATTCTTTCTCATTGCTCTATGAAATGATAGAATTCAGTACAATGTTTCTTTAGTGAGTTAACTGAATTTAGAATACTGACTTCTGATGCTTTTGAAAGGTGGTGAGTAAGCCTCATTTATTTTTAACTAGCTTTTGAAAAAAATGTAAATTTTTGACATGAGTGAGATTTAATTATTCTGTACAATTGACAGCTAAATGTAAACATAGGTATTGGATTTCAGTTTCAGCTTTGGCAAACTTCTTGATTAACATTTATTTTAGGTACAGAAGATGATGTGTGGTTTTGAATATGACTCCCTTAAATGTAATCTGATTTGGGTTTTAGATTTTTATTCTGGAGGGCAAGTTGGGGAGAGAAGAACTTAACTTTCCATTCAGGGATTTTCATATAACAATGATTTTTCTTATCTTTTATCCATTCTCAAACCTCCATTTTGCTATTAATGTTTATCCTAAATCATAGGCTGCCAACTAGCATCCAAGACATGGTTGTCCAGTTGGGAAAGTAATTAGGCAGAAAGATTTCATCAATATCAATTATCATCAATATCATCAAAACAGCATGTAGTATAGATTAAGGAAGGGTCAAAATGATTCTTTTGCTTTTTTAATTCAACCATCAACCACTTTTTATTTTAAATACCATTGATCTAAAGTCCTATACCTCAAAACAAATTCACTGAGCGTGATGTAGGTAGAAGGGATGGAACTGGAATGGTTGGAGTGTTGATGCAAACTCATGTCTTACTTTTTTTTTTTTACTTTTTAAACTCTCTTTTATAATAGAGACAAACTGAAAGAGGAACTAACTTAAAAAGAAAATGTAGGTTCCCGGGACTTACTCTTCTCAGTTGTTATATTTTTACCAACTAGTGAAAAATTAGGGAAGTTTTTCCATCAGAATGTATGTAGATAAGACTTTATTCCTCAGAACTGCCAGTCTAAGCACAAGGACAACCTTTTTTTCCTGAGTGAATTTCTCAGGGATTTTTCTGAAGTTGCTCAAATGTTGACTATCTAGTCTGAGTAGCTATCACTATTGCCTTTGTCAGGTTATTATTGAGCTAGTGAGTTATTTAAGTGGCTAGGATTTCCTTTGGCATTGCTGAGGCCTGATTCCAAGGCTTGGGCTTCGTTTAACTTGGACTCATAAGGGCAACACCTATACCCCATTCTGTGGGAATAACTTCTGTACAACTTGGTTAACATTTTTTCCCCCTAAGAATGGACTAAAATGCCAGATTGTGTGATCTCTAACAAGAAGTTTTTGGGGAATATCCCTAGGGTTAACATATCTACAATGGTAAAAGGAAGTTATGTCTGGGGAAACATGAAATTGAGGGCCAAAGCCTCTCAGTTCTCTGCAGACAGAAATTTGAATAATATTGAAAGGAGAGACATCATTTTTCTTTGACTTGTGGTTCCAAGGTTGGTAGGCCTCTCTGTATACATGCTGCAAGTTGTTCACTCCAAAGTGAACCCTCCATGATGAAATGTTATATTTAGAATTGGAAGTAAAAATGGAAAGACAAAATTCTCAAACAGGATGTTGGTCTCTTGCTTCTTAGTTTTCTCATCATGGTTATCCAGTTGGAAAAGTCACTAGGCAGAAAGATTTCATCAATATCATTCAGCAACACAAACTCTTTGGCATGTTTTGGTAGAGGCAGTCATTGAGGGCTATCAGCTGTCCATTGGTAACCAATGTCGCCCTTCCTTTTTAGAGAAATGTGAGGCAGGTAACACATTCAGGTAGGATGTTTTAGGCAGGGAATTTTTTGTACTGTCCTTTCACAAATGTAATATGCCAGGACTTTTCCCAGCATTTGGCTACAGTTGGTTTTGTAGATCACGACTGCCTGAACCCCCAAATTTTATACATCTCAATGCTTTTTATAAATTGTAAAACATTATTGTAATTTCCAAAGGGGAGATATACACAGTGAATTCAGAAGATGGGTCCCAAGTTTCTTGGTTTCTTATTTTAAATGATGGCACCTGGTTGGTGTTTCCTTGCTTGGCCCAGTGAATTGATACGTAGTGGGCATTGCAGTTCTGAGGAACTTCAAAGAACAGAAAAGCACTACCGTATGAGAACCCAAATCTATCATCGAGAACATCTGTCCCTAGTCTGATAATAGAAATGTTGCCAGAGGACTAGCCGCCGAACCAGCAGCGAAACTCTTTTACATCTTTGAGGTGAACTGAGGCTGATCACTCGGTGAGGTTTATAAGCCTTCTATCAAAATAAGGTACGATGATAAATGTTTTGGTATTTTATAATAGAGTGATTGTACCTCTGGCAATTTGCCCTCTGCACATAGCCAAGGATACCTTTTTTCTTCTTTGTTCATTCTCCATTGGCTTTAACCAATAGAATGATGCCAACCCTAAGATGAAAGTGAAAACTGTAATTGCAAAAAAGTGTCCATAGACAATAAACGTTTGGTATTCTAAATTCAGAGACTGGCATATCTCACTGCATTTGATGCCTTCCTGAGGGGTCAGAACTTTTCCAGGCCTCAGTTCTTACTTTTTACTTTTACTTCAGATATGATCTCCATTTATATGGTGGCCTTGACGTGCCACATTTCACACTTTAATTTTATACATCTATAGATGAGTGACATTTCTATTTCTTTTGTTGACAGACAACAAGAATGGGTAAATCAGCAAAGAGAGGATATTGAAAGGCAAAGAAAACTCCTGGCAAAGAGAAAACCACCGACTACTAATAATTCTCAGGCACCTTCCACCAATTCTGAACCAAAACAAAGGAAAAACAAAGCTGTCAATGGAGCAGAAAATGATCCTTTTGTTAGACCTAATTTACCACAACTGTAAGTTTGTTTCATTTTCCTTTTTTGAACATTACCAGCAATCACATGTGGGCAGTGTATGTAATTAGTATAAAAATAGTTATACCTAGGAAGAAGGGCAGTAAGTGACAGGTTAGCTCTATAATAATATGAACCAAAAAGAAACTATAATTCTAAATCTCTTTAATTTTTTTAAAAAAAGCATGCTTTGTTAACTGTTTTAAAATGGAGACTTTAGCAACCAGAAAAGGAGTGGAATCTCTACTTTTAATATCTGAATGACTCAGAATAGGAATTTGTTTAAACCTTTGACTATTTCAGTTAAGCTTTTCCTTATCGTGTGTTTGTTTGGTTTTCTTTTTTTTAAAATGAGGCCACAGTAGTTTACCTTTGAAAGAATGCCACAAGATAGAAACTTGTGAACCATTCTTTGGCACACTGAATGAGCTTTTTATTTGTAAGTCTTCTAGTAGTGGTGGTGGTAGGCACTTTGCTAAATGCTTTACAAATATAGTAAGCATGAAGCATATTCTGGGATGCAGAGTAATGTAATTGCTTTTATAGTGAGATAAAAAAAAATCCCCAAGCTTAGTTCCTACAGTTTTAGCTATAAACCAACTAATTCTTGGTTTATTATTGTGGTTAGATGCAAAAATTCTGCTTGATTTGGTGGATGTGTAGTTTAAGCATTTGTGCCAAATAGAGAATAACTACAAAATCACAAAACTTTAGGACGTTATCTGGTCTAGCCTCCTTGGAAGTCTATTTTTAAAAAATTTAAAATGTGGTTGAATGATTTATACATATCTTGCACTGAATTAATATTTGTTAATTAACCTGGGGCCCAATATTCCAATTTTTTTTGGTTTCTTTTAAAATTATACTTTTCCCCCCACCAAACATGAGCTTTCTCAGTTCTACTTGTCTATTTCTCTTTTTTGTAAATATAATAATGATGATGATAATACTAGCTAACATTTATATTGTGTGCCTGGCACTGTGTTAAGCATTTTACAAATTTTATCTCATTTGATCCTCACAACAACTCTGGGAGATTGGTGCTAATATTATTATCTTTATTTTATAGTTGAGGAAACTGAGGCAAACATAAGTTAAGAGGTTAAATGTATTTTTAGAATGTTACCAGGTATCCAACCATGTGCTTTTCAAATCTCTATTCTTGAAGATTTAAAATTTTTGACTTCCATTCTTCTGAGACAAAATTAAATTCTTCTCCTCCCCACCTTCCTATCCCCATTTATCATTGGCAAGGTTGGGGAAGAACTGTCCCTTTTAGACTTCATTTTTTGGATTTACATATTCACATATATATCTCCCACATTGTTTATTGAACAATAATCCTATTTCATGTGACTACCTCATTTTGAGAAATAGAAACAGCTCCAAATCCAAACCTTTTGTGTATTAAATTCATTATCATTATTTTTTTCTATTTCATCTTATAGACCTGGGGTCTGTGAAATTGATTAAAAAATTGTTTTGATAATTATTTCAGTATGATTGGTTTACTTTGTAATCTTATTTATACATTTTATGTATTGAAAAACATTATTTTGAAAAGTCTGATCATAGGTTTCAATCAGACTACCAAAAAGGCCTGTGATACAAAAAAGGTTTAAAAGCCCCTGTTGAAGACCCAGTTTTCTCTCTTCCAACCCTCCCCCTCTCCCTCTCCCACCCTACATGCCTTTCAGGTTACTTTTCTTTGATCATCTGGGTAGATTCTAGTGTTAATAATATGTTGTTTCACTTCTTCTTTTGTGGTGCCCTTCCTCTGCTTTGATGTGTCCTTTCCCACAGAAGTTACAAGTAATCCCATTTTGTAAAACAATGCTGCTGTGTTCTTATTTTCCATAAAATAAGTGAATATTCCAATTACTTGATTTTTTTTATCTTTTTGTCCCCCTTCATCTCCAATTATCCTTTTAACAACCTCAACAAAAACAAATGAACAGATTTCCCCCAGTTCCATTACTCTAAATGTGACCATGTATTCAGAACTACTTATAATAAAAATCCATGTAAACAACTAGTGAGAATAGCTTACATACTGTGTTCCCTTCCTCGTTTTGTATACACTCATGTTTTTTAAGTTTTAGAGAAGGTGCATTAGAGAGGGCATTTCCTCCCGTGGGAGATCTCCATACCAGGGAAGGTCCAGTTCCTATCCCGGTATTACAGAAAAGGGAAATGAGGCTCAGAGAAGGTATAAATTGCCCCTGCTTAACAGAGGTGGTGACTGTCTTGGGATTTGAATCCAGATCTTTTTTGCTCAGGGGCAGCTAGGAGGTGAAGTGGATAGAGTGCCAGCCCTGGAGTCAGGAAGACTCCTCTTTCTGAGTTCAGATCTGCGTCAGACACTTCCTAGATGTGTGACCCTGTTTACCTTAGTTTTCTCATCTGTAAAATGAACTGAAAAAGGAAATGGCAGACCACTCCAATATCTTTGCCAAGAAAACCCCAGATGGGGCCACAAAGAGTAGGACATGACTGAAACAACTGAACAACAACAACTTCTTGGCTGAAAGTTCAGAACTGTACTACACCACACTACCTCTCTTGATACAAATGAAGAGGTTGTGATTATCATTGAACTGATCTTTCTTTTCTTTTTCTTGTATCATTAGGGTATGTTTTGAGTGATGAGATCAATGAGCTTTAAGTGATTTCTTGAAATGCAGTTCTAATTCGATTCTGTAATCCTTGTCTGTTCCTAAGTAGAACATTCCAATTGTAAATAGAAATGGTTCTCTGTGGTCCCCTTGATAGAATTCTGCTCCACATTCTCCGTTCTATGCCATAAACCGTTTTGGAACATTAAAATATTTTTCTCTTAAGTTCTTATTAACTTGTTATTTTTTAAAGAAACCATCTCTTATTTATCCCCCCTCCAACCCTCCAAAGAAAAACACTCAAGCCAAATCAACTAATACCCCATGTCTACCATTTTCAGCATTCATATTCATCTGACTTCTGTTTTTTCTGGGTTATTCATTGTATTCATTCTAAGTTCATTTGCCAGCTTGTGTTTTTTATTAAGTTGTAATCATGTGTAATTTGTTCTCCTAGGAATCAGTTCATACAGATCTTTCCATGTATCGTAGGCCAGGCCTGAGTCAGACCAATCTAATAGCTTTGGTTGATATTAGGATGAACTGAGACACTCTAAAACATTTGATAGTTTACAAAAGGCAGTTTATTTAGCCGTAGCAGGGAAAACATTTAGCAAGGATACAGCATTGATTCAGTAAGGCATAGCTTTCCTGACCATGTGTTTGTCTATGATGGTCCACCAGCTAAAAATCTAAGGGGCAAATTGTGATTCCCCATACTCTGCTTTTTTTTGTACCTAGGCTACCAGGAAGCTAAGTCAAAACTCTTTGGTCTGAAGCCAATTAAATGTTGAGTGCTGTTTCAATACTTTTTAGGAAAAATTAGTCTTAGGGACTTAGAATATTGCCACTACCACACCACGTTTCTCCAAATTCCTCGTGTTTGTCTTTCTTACAATGCAATAATATCCAGATGCCAAAATTTATTCAACCACTATCCACTGGATGGGATCTACTTTGTTTAGTTTTTTTCCCCTGCAACAAAAGAGCAGGTGTGAATATTTTAGTATTATATTGGACCTTTTCTTTGTCTTTTACTTGGTATACATGCCCAGTAGTGAAATTTTGGGAGTCAGAGTCTGTGACTTTGTGAGTGGCTTTGCTTGAATAATTTGAAATTTTTTCCCAAAATGGTTGGAGTAATTCAGAGATTGTTCACTGCTTTATCAGTGTTTAAACTCAGAAAAATATAGTCAGCAATTTATTTGAATTAGTAAATTGGAGATTAAGCTTTGGCTTACTTCAGAACATCTGTTGTCATAAAGAAATTATGACTCTGTAGCTCCTCTTGCATCAAGAAATTAGGATATAATTATTTTTAACACGGAAATTCTGATGTTCTGCAAAATGTTTTTAGATTGCTTCAGGTAGTAGTCTCTTTTTTTAGAAAGACTTTTTTTTAAAATCAAATTAATCAACAGTCAGCTATTAAGCACTTAAGATATGCCTACCACTGTTCTTGATATACCTATAGGACATCCATTTCGAAATGTCCAGAAGGTGCTGGGGGGCTGGCACTCAAGAAAGAAAATAGAGCTGGATATATAGATTTGTGAATCATCTGCATAGAGATGATAATTGAATGCATAGCAGCTGATGTAAGCACTATGTAAGTTAGAATAGAAGAGAAGCAGAAAAAGACAGATTCTTGGGATTGCATGCAATTAGTGACCATGACATGGATGAAGATCCAGCGGGAGAAATTGAGAAGGATTAATCAGACAGGTAAGAAGAAAATGAAGAAAACGCAAAGAGAAGACAGCACCCTGGAGAAGAAAAGTGGTTAGTAGGATCAAGTACTGAAGACAGGTCAAGAAGAATGAGGAAGGATCAAGAAGAGGCCATTAGATTTGGCAATTAATCATTGGCAATTTGGAGAAAGTAGTTTCAGTTAAATGATAAGATCAAAAACCAGATTGCAAGAGTTTAGGAAGAGAGTGAGAGAGGCAGTAGCAGAAACCCCTATTATTAATTTTTCTTTTTCCCAAAGTCATCAAGAGATATTTTTTAGAAGCAATCAGGTCTAAAGCTGGAATCATCTGAATTCTCAAACTTTCATCCCTTGTTCTCTATTACCAACTACTATGAATCCCTTTCTTCAGAATGCCTCATATCTTCTTTTTTAGTCTCACAGCTAATATCTTATAACAGGCCTTTATCTAATGTGGACTATTAAAATAACCTCTTAATTGGTCTCTTTCCTTTCCAATCAATCTTACGTAGTACTACCAAACTAGTATTCCTAAAATATCTTTTCTCCTTCTTTCTTGAATTCCCAAAGTAATGCCATTTACATCTTATGTGTTTTTTTTTCCTTGATTATAATCAACTTATGTTATGTGCTCAGGTTTAGTTCTGGGACCTTATTTAATATTGAAGACCTAAATTTAATACTTATGACCTTCACAGCTTCACTGTGAAGAAGTCAGTCTTGGGCATCAGGACCATGGATTGGCCTTCAAAGCTGTCTGTAACGAGAATTCCTATCAATAAATCTTACTTTCTGCTTTCCATTTCAAAATCTGAGATATCTTCCAAAATCTAAGCTAAGAGAAAAAAATCCTCATAGAGGTTGATTTGGAAAGAAAAGTGAAGAAAGACTTTGGAGTTCTGGCACTTCTATGGCACCTAATAATTGTAAGCATCATAGCTGCAAGAAGTTATAGCATTATAATGTTTCAGTTTTCACTCATGATTTTTTTTTTCAGGAATTTCTCATTGTTGATCTTCTTTTCCCTTCTACCTTTCTTCAAAAATTAAAAATTAGAGCATGCATCACTTTTTTAAAGAACTTTAGCACAATGCCTGGCACATACTAAATGCTATAGAAATGTTAGTAATTTTTTTCCTTTTTGCTTGAGTAATAGGAGTAAGCCAATATTCAAATCCTCTGATAAATACCACTAAACAACAATGTGCTACTGACTGAAATTCCTTAAATTTGAGGTTTCAGGTTTATTACTTCTGTACATTCAAAATTCTGTTCTTCAAATTCACTTAGAATTCTGTTTTCCTGTTTTATATATATATATATATATATATGTATGTATGTATATATATATGTACATATATATAGTCTCTTCTAATAATAAGTTATTCCACATTTGCATTAAACTAATAGTTTTTAATAAAGAACCAAATCCTCATTATTTTATTCGTTTAAAAGATAGACTTGTAGATTGTTGTTAATTAAGTATTATATGCTACAGTATATAAAATATTAGATCTGGCTCTTATGAATGTTTAAGTAAGTTTTTTTTAAACAGATTTATGTAATTATGCTTACTTTTTCACGGTCATTAAGGATCTATTTTTTTAAAGATGATTTGAAAAAGCCTGCTTATCTTTGATTTAAGGAATTTTCTTCTAATATTTGCATTAATAAAATTTTAAGGATCCTATTTGTTTCTTATCTTTGATATCATATAATTTGTCTTCATTAAATTTGCTGTAATTTCTGGCCATATGATAAAAATTAGTCTGGTGTTATTAACTTAAGGAAACTACTTGTAAATAAAACTGTATATGTGTGTGTATAGTAAAACATCATTAATTCATACCACACTAATCAGAATTTGTGATAACCTGGACCCAGAAAACTTTGGCTGTACTTTTGCATTAAAATTACATGTGAGTGTTTTAACTATGTAAAAGTGTCTTAGGTTATTTTAGAGACACTAAACACATAGTTAATTTGCTAACTAAAAATCATTTATAAATTTTCATTTACAGTACTTTGGTTTTATTTTAATTATTGTATGTAATAAAGCTATCAAAAAAGAAGACTAATTGTTCATTCAGATTGATTTGTACCTCCCCCCCACAGGTTACTTTGAATTAATAAGATTTAACTGTATACATATACATACTTTGGGATAAAAATATCCCCAACAAAAGTCCTTTTAATCTTTTGGAATAAAAGCTTCCCTAATAGAAATAATAAATGTTCTTGAGTAACCAAAGATTGGTAATTTAATATAACATCATCAGATATCCTTTTATTAGTAGTAAGTGAATCCAAAGGGTGGGTAGGTAGGTGTGGGTGTATGTGGGGGTGTGTTAGGTGATAGATGAAGATAGTTGTTGCAGCTATATTTGCTGTAGATTAATAAAATGATGAGTGGAGGGTAGAACTTTCTTTTTCTGTACTTTGTCTAGAATTGTCTTTTCTTGGAATATGACTAAGGAAGAAATAATTGCAGCAAGTTTATGCTGTGGTGGTTCATGAACATGAGTAAATTAATATAGCATGTATATGTGTCAATAGAATAATATTTTACCCAAATCCCTGGAAATTGTGAACAATTAAAGAGCTTTACTTAGATCTGATAAATAAATATGGAAGCTGTTTTCAGTGCAAATAGAATAGTTCTTCCCTCATATGACTACTTTTCTTAGAAAGTATAGAATTCACTTAATTTGCTTAAAAAAAAGTTATCTGCTTAATAATGTTTTCAGATTATTAGAATATTTAAATGAATTATACAGCTAACAAAATGTTTACAAATCACATGCAAAATTGTTGGTGGAGTTGTAAAATGATCCAACCATTTTGGAGAGCAATTTGGAACTATGCCCAAAGGGCTATAAAAATGTGCATACCCTTTGACCCAGCAATCGCACTTCTAGGACTATATTCCAAAGAGATCACACAAATGGGAAAAGGACCCACATGTACAAAAATATTCATAGCAACTCTTTCTGTGGTGGCAAAGAATTGGACATTGAGAGGATGCCTGTCCATTGGGGAATGGCTGAGCAAGTTGTGGTATGTGAATGTAATGGAATACTATTGTTGCTATAAGAAATGATGAACAGGCTGACTTCGGAAAAACCTAGAAAGACTTGTATGGTCTGATGCTGAGTGAAGTGAGCAGAACCAAGAGAATGTTGTACACAATAACAGCCACGTTGTGTGATGACTATTATTGATAAACTTAACCCTTCCCAGCAATACAAGGATCTAAGACATCTCCAAAGACCTCGTAATGGAAAATGCCATCCACATCCAAAGAAAGAACTATGGAAGTTGGCTACTTATGTGCCATCTTGGGGAGGGTGGTGGGGAGGAAGGGGGAGAAAAATTTTAAAGTCAAAAGCATATGGAAATGATTGTTGACAAATCAAAATAAATTAATAAAAAAATTTTTAAAATCACGTGCAAAATTGAAAATACTATATAAATACTTGAGGCAGCTGTGTAGGGGATAGAAAGCCTGCCTCTGAGCCAGGAAGAATTCAGATTCCACCTCTGACCTATACTGGCTTTGTGACCCTGGGCAAGTCACATAACCTCACATTGCTCTAAGAAACAACTCTCTAAGTCTATAAGTTGTAGAGAAGGTATTTACCTATATTGATAGAGAGAGTTTGCTAATTTGGGAAATTCTTATATTACTGCAATCACAGGTCTAATCCCTTACTCTTAATAAATACTTAATAAAAATGTGTGTGCATAATTTAACATTATTTAACTCATTAAGTATTTTTTTTTAATTTATTGTATTGTATTTGAAATTTTATTATGACCAAATTTTCACAATTGAAAAATATGAGTAGTTAATTTTATTACAATTTTATTACACTTTAATAGAAGTTAAAGTATTTTTTCTGAGTTGTGGATTTTTTTATAATGATGTTTTTTTAGTTGAAAACCACTGTCCAAAATACGAGTGCTATAGAAGTTTCTGAAAATGTCCAAGTTATATATTATATTTTAAATGATTTAATTTATTATGCATGTTAGACTTAAATGCAACTCTAATGTATTGATGTAGAATCTTGTTTTGATAAGCTCCTAATCATAATATTATTATACTGATTGTTATTTAATGGCCTACCTTTTAAAATAAATAATAATATTAATATGTAGGATTACTGTTTTGTTGTTTTGGCAGGCTCACTTTAGCAGAGTACCATGAACAAGAAGAAATTTTCAAACTTAGACTAGGACATCTCAAAAAGGTATGTGGACTTAGTGAACTGGGGTTTTTAGTTTAATTGTGGGAGCTATAGGGTTTAGAATTGGAGGGTTTCACTCAAGAAATTGGAAAGGGGAGAAACAGTGAAGATCTGAGATGAAAACAGCCATGGGACATGACAGGCTATGGGAATGAGCATAGATTTAGGATATATTTTTTTTTAATATAAAACACTGAGCACATGAAAGGACGATATAACTTATGCACATAGCAGAGTAGTAATGTTATTGTTTGGTTAAATTAGGAAAAACTAGTTGTAGACTAAGTTTAAATTTCTTAGAACTGAATTTTTTAGGAAACATGTTATATGTTATAACCACAAAAGTAAAATTCCATATTCCTCCTGTTTCACTGTTTTATAATAAATTAATAAGAGTTTGTAATGCTTTTATAAGCTGGGGTTTTCAAACTATTGTATATATGTTTAAGAATATTTTTCATAAAAATTTATTTTTAAATTTGATTAGTGAAATAATTTTAATTATTGTAAATTAATAAGGAGTGTTATTGTAAAGTGATAAGAAACTTTGACACAATTTAAAAATTGATTTGTATTCATTTGTAAAACTGTCAGTTGTCAGTATCAAAGTTTTGATTCTTCATTACTGTTTAAAAACCATTTCAATAGCTTATTCTTAGTTCAGTGTATTGAAAAAGAATAACAAGAGTTTTTTTCTTAAATAATAAAACCATACAGATATTAATATTGTATTTCTTTAAACTGTTTTTCCTTTCTTCCTTATGTATTTTAATTTCAAAAGATCTACTGAAAAAGTTGTAAAAAAGAAACTACTGGAATAACATTACCTTTATCGAACCAGGACACACAGATACCACTAAATTAACCTCATTTTTTATGTGACATTTAAAATTCAGACCTGTTAATTTACAAATTAGTATACTTCCTAGCTTTGTCCTGACCCATAAAATGGGGAGAGAAATTTTATTGGATCTTCCTTTTTTCCTTTTCTGTAAAATCCTACTTTTGTATAAGACCTCAGTATCAAATATCTTCTAGTTAGACAAATATTATATAGGAAAGAAAATATGATCTTTAGAGCAGTGGTTCCTAATTTTATTTTTGGGTGGGTACTTTTACATTCTCCAGAATGTTCAGCACTCTGTGGTGTGGGGGAAGGTGGTTGTTGGGGAAAAAAAGAGGAGAAATGGGTATTGACAGAAGTTATAGATTTTTTTTAGCTTAAAAGTTGAGGCAATAACCAGGTTCTTCTTTCCGCATATGTGTATATAGTTCTATTAACTATAACTCAACTTTGAATTCTTGAACCAAGACATGCTTTGGCCTTTACTTTGATTACCACAGTTCTTCATTTGATTCCTTATAGAAACTATGTCTAGTTTAGTGTTATTGTTATTCCGCTATCTTCCTTTAAAAATCTTAATTATTCTTAATATAATCTTTCAGCAATATCTAAATCTGTCCCCTTCTCCCTCCAACACCACCTTGTTCTTACTGTTGCCCTTGTCCGATACAAATCCAACCAAAAGTGCCTGATAGGTATATTTGTCCATTGAGAGGACTTGTTTTGGCATTTAGAAGTTGAATGTATGACATTTATACCTCTATTAAAAGTGAATTATTCTGTGTATCCTGCTTTATATTATGTTCACCATAGGATCATAGGGACTTTTATTGTCTGAGTACACCAAAGCTTTCCCTGCAAGACTCTTATTTCTATATAAAACAGAATGATTTTAATCTCTGCTTCTGAAGACTAGACTGCATATTATGTATATGTGCTTCTTTAGGAAAACCTCTTACGTGAAAGCCTGAACTTAAGTAGCCGATAAATTAGAGATTGGCTAAGTGTAATACAGTGGAATTTTTTGTTTTTGAAAAGGCTCTATGGCAAGCTTGCTTTTAAATAGTGAGCTTCTCTTGGGCATTCATAATACTTGATTCATAGACAGCTGTTTAGTAACACTTTTAAAAGAGATAGATACTTATAAACAGTATCAAAAGCACTGTACTTTTCTCTTTTAACTCCCATGATTTACCCTTTCAGCTTTTGTATCTCCTTGTCTATTCATTCTCTTATCTTTGTCCCTTTTTTCATCAATATCCTTTTTCTCTTTGACTTGGAATATACTCACTGAGGTGGCAGTGACAGCTTCATAGTTATAACTCCTCTTCTTCTGCCTTACCTACCCTAAATTACACATTGGTGGTCTTTTCCCTCTATCCTGGAGTATTATTTGGGGAGAGGAGCAGAAATTATAACCTTGAAATATACCCCAATGTTCCTGACATTTTAAAATTATTAGGTGCTAGATTTGGAGCCAAAGAATTTCGGTCTATACTCTGACTCTGACATGTTACCTGTATGACTGAGGGTGGATGGTTTCATCTATGGAGGCCTCAGCTACAAAAATGGAGGAAAGGGACTAGATAATATCTTTAGTCCCTTCCAGCTCTAGATTTATGATCCTGTAATATTACGTTTGACAGACTTGGGGGTGTGGGTGTGCTCCCAGAAAACTCATCAAGAAGTCTAAAATTTATACAAGGGAGATGATGGAACAGACACTTGGCAGCATCACCTTGGAGAAGAAGTAGGCACCTGCTCCCTAAGTTTACTATGGCATTTGAATTATGAAGCATGAAAGACATAGTTCAGTCATGTGTTCTAAAAAGAAGTAATTAGGAAATATTACCTTCCGTTGGATATTTTAAGACAATTGTTCACTTAGAATAGAAATAGAATGCAGAGGACTGGGCGTGAGGGAAGAGGAACAGGAAGGAAGCAAGTTTTTATTAAATTCCTTTTATGTGCTAAGCACTTTACACTTATTTTCTCATTTGATTCTCACAACAGCCCTCTGAGGTAGGTGGATGCTATTGTGATCTTACACTTATAGGACTTGCCCAAGGTCACACAGCTAGTAAGTGTCTAAGAGTGGATTTGAACTCAGACCTACCTGATTCCAAGCCCAGTGCTCTATTCACTGCCCCCACCGTCTGCCTGAGTCACGAAGATGCTTTACTGCTATGTCAGGTCACCCTGCTCCTGAACTTGTTAGACTTGAATACATTTGATGTCTTATTTGCTCTTTAACAACTTCTGCCATGGGCTAGGTGTGAATTGTGGTCATTTGTATGTTGTGAAACACTCTGGATACTACCATTGGTCTTCAGGTTACCAGTTCTTAACTTTAAGAGTATATAATATCTAGTATGTGTTTGCATCATCAGGGTATATCAGCTACACAATTGAATTGAACTTGTTTTCTTAATTCATAAGTATTGTAGTTTGAGAAAAATGACTAATATCATGACTGATGAAGGACATCAGCAATTGAACAAAATGACTTGGTTGTGATTTTGGCAGCAGTGAGAAATCACTGAGAAAGTATATGACAAATATGGTACTGGGTTATATGTAAATTTATGGACAGAAGGAATGGAGGACCCATTTACTTTTTCTTTACACAGCTACTTTGTTGCAAGATGTATTTTAGCTTATGATGGAAACTAAAGAAGAAACAAAGTATATTAGCTTTATACAGTTGAATTACTGTTCCACAACTCACCAGAATTGAAAACGAATAACAACAGGATAACCGAAGCAGTTGTTGCTCAGCAAGTCTAAAAGTTAATGCCTGTTCTTTATAAGAGGAACAATCATAGTTTTGTGGTGTCTGACCAACGCTGAAAGGGCAGCATTTACAGAATCTGTTGGATTGAGGCCTCTTGTATTTTGTTGCTGTTTATGAAAAACATCCAGTGTCACTTTTGTGTATGAACAACAGTTTCTTCCTGTATTTATTGGGTGTGAGTTACTGTAGCAGTCAGGCAAATTAGAGTTCTATTATTTTAAACATTCAGTGAGTTGGCTTTTAATTATAGAGAAATGAATTCACCATGCACTTCTCTTGTCTCTAAGTGGAAGAGTTTTCTTTTCCTTAAACCTTTTGGGAGATATACCATTTCACTTTTGTTGCAGTTAAAAGAGAGTCATTTAAGTTAATTGAGTTGTACGTCTACAGTGTCTTCTTTGGGACTTACCTTTGTGGGTGTTGCATGAGTTAAAGTAATTCTATAATTTGCTAGTATATTGGTTAATTTCCACCCCAAATTTATTTTTATAAAGGTCAACTAAGAGGCAGGCATTTGTAACAAAATGCCATAATTCTCTCAGAAGTAATTTCAAATTTCTTTCTAACTTCTTGTAAAGGACTCTACAGATCAAAGTAAATAAATAAAATGTGTAGAGAATGCAAACTAATATCTCTAGAACTGCTTTAATTAGGAAAAGTAATTTTTCTGTTGCTTCAGTAAGCCAAGCTCAATTTACCGGTAATACATACAACTTCCCTCTTGAGTATCATGTATTAAAAGCTTGTGATTGCAAAGGAAGTCATTGCATTCCCTTAGAAGATTTTTCCTCTGAGGCAGAGCTTCCAACTCTTTCCCATTTTGTATAGTTATGCTTCCATGTGGAACCAATGGATTTTGGTAAACATGCAAAATTATTTATCAGGTGGTGTCATTGTTTTTATATTGACACTTAGGGTAGGTAAATTCTAGGAATAAGGAAACATTAAGTCTAGAAATATAGGCATTATTTCAGGTTAATGTCGTAGTAGTCCAAATTTTTTTTTAATAGGTTTTAAAACTTTGTTGAAAAGAACTGTTTATGGGTTATACTTTGAGTTCTATACTTTCCAAGAAGCATTAGTAAAATTACAAATAGGTTAGCTACCATCATCCTTGTAACATTTTCACTGTTGTCATACTTTATTAAAAAGACATTTGACATTCAGTGATAACATCCTTTGGCTGATGAGAGGTTTATAGTTGTGAGGACTTTTGTTCATGTCTCATTACTGGTGTTTTACAAGTTGATGCTATGAATGGCATAGAGGGATTTTATGGTATACATAATCTCTAGTCTTCTGGCTTATTTATGTAAAGATTTTAGTTCTTAAAGTTCATAATGAGAGATGGTGTCTATAGAAAGC